GCCGTGGCTGCTGTTCCCTTCTTGATACGCTGAGCCAAACTCACAGCAGAATTGGACCCTTTAACATGGCAAACTTCCCGGAAGCGAGAGGAAGTAATTCGGGGTCTCCTGACATCATGCCATTCAGTTGTTTCGCTCTGCTCCCTGGTGGCAACTTCAATCTTTCTGGACTGTTCCAGCGTTGTGGAAAGACACTCCAGTTCTAGTTGCTGCTGGTGGCTGCAGACAAACTGGACACAGGTGGGCTCAAGATGGTAGTTGTCCAATGGCAATGGAGGAGGGGCATCCACGTGGCGAATGATAACTCGGCTGACTGGCAGTGGATGCTGCAAAGCTATAGGACTGCCTTCCTGGACTGTTCCAAAGGTTGACTCAACTACTGGGACATCAGCACTGATGGCCATGGTGGTAATGAGAGGAGCAAGATCTGCTGCAAAGTCCTGGTAAACCTCCGCCACTCTGAGGACATCAGGGTCCGGCAAGTCTCCCTGCACAGCCTTGTAACTTTTGCTCCTTTAAAAAAGCAAGGCACATATTTAAAACTTCAGCTCCTAGGAATTGTTAATTTCAAAGTTCCTACATACAATGGCTTGCAAAAGTATTCAAACTCCACATTTTGTCACATTACAAATATATTTTATTGGAATCTTATGTGAAAGACTAACGCAAAGTGGTATACAATTGTGAAGTAAAAAAGTACATGATTTATTTATTTATTTTTTGAATAAACTGAAAAATGAAGACTCTGAAGACACCATCCCCACTGTCAAATATGGAAGTATTGATTCGGGGACTAAATACATTTACACAAAGCCCCTTTCAATTTTTATTTGTAAAATAAAAATTACATCATGTATAATTTTCTTTCCCCTTCACAATTGAATACCACTTTGTCTTGGTCTCTCACATAAAACTCAAATGAAATATATTTATGTTTGTGGTTGTAATAACAAAACATAGAAAAGAAGTATGAATACTTTTGCAAGGCCCTATAATTGAGAACACTGACAAGAATTACCTCACTCCATTTCCAACTGTGCGCTGTTTTGGCCTTGCAGAGACAAAAACCATGTCACGTACACGGCCTGGTTTCACACCCTGTAAAACAATTAACGGAAATGCCACCATGAAAAATTCTAACATGAACGATGCCACATACTTTCAGAGAAGGCATGAAATATGTAAATGTAGTGTATAGGAATTTAATCACAAAACAGGCTTAAATTGGAGGAAACTTGGACTTTTGCTAAGGGTGAGTTGACAGAACTGACAGACTCCTGGAAAGGTGATGAAACATTTACAGAAAAAAATGAGTGAAAGTCTGGTTGCCTCCCATTTAAACCAGTTTTGTGGCTGCCATGACCTGGATGACAGAGAATTTGCACAGGCATATGATGATTTATATGTTCAATTTAATTAACATCAAATATATATGTATCTTCAGACATAAAGTAGCCTTCAAATCATGAACTAATTTTACTAAAATTTCTAGAAATGTTTTATTTTCCAGTGGGTAAAATCATTGTTTTTTAGCTCAGCAAGAACTTGAATTGTGTGACCTGACAATATGATTATATGATTTCTCTTACCATGTTGTTTAAAATAAAAATGTAGGACATGTTAGATCAACGGTCTTAATGTGATGCACACTTACCATGGTCCTTGGTTTGTGCCAGCTCTGTTCTGATTCCGTACAGCTAAGTACAGGCGGCACAGCAGTCAAATTCAGAG